TTATGAGGGAATCTTGAGGTGCCCACAGCTCCATAATCATTTCTCTGCAAGTAATTGCCATTGCTGGTAGTGAAGGGGAGCTGTAAGGGAGAAGTGGAAGTTGCTGTTAAAGACATTGTATTTATTTTTTTGAGTGCTGTGAGGGCACTGACACTAGCTGATACCTTGTCAGGATAACTAATACTATACACAATAAAAAAGGTGGTGTGGTGACCACATGAGCTTTGCCTTGACCTAACAAGGTGAGCAATGCCATTGAATTTAAAATCATTGAAGAGACTTGGAATATTTTTTATACATATAGAAATATGAGAGGATTCAAATTGTATTAAGAAAAAAAATGTAAAAATCAAATGCATCATTAATTGACTTATTATTATATAAAAGAGAAGAAAAATGAATTTTTGTCCTCCATGATCATAAGATGATATTTAAAAAAATAATAAGAGTTATATTACCATAAGAACTATTAAGCATTAATAACTCTCACTCTTATAAATATATTCGGTAAGATTAACAAAAAAAAACAATAATCAATTCTAAAAAAATTTATTTATCTAAATGAGCTAAATTTAGACATTGAATAACAAGCATGATTAATTAATAATAATAATAATTTAACAATAATATATCATAAATAAATTTACAAAAATTCATTTAAAAATACAAAAAATCACTTAAATACTATATTAAAGACAAATCTATTTTATTTTAAGCATTTTATACGTGTGAAGTGTTTTTTTACTACTTCATTGTTCAATGCTAAACTCCAATTTTTTTTTTTTAGAATTGATGTTACCAAATATATTTACAAGAGAGTGAGAGTTATCAATGTTTAGTAGTTATTATCACAATATAACTCTTTTATTTTTTTATGTATTATCTTGTAGATGACCAAAATTTATTTGTTTTATATAACAATAAAGTCAATTAACGTTGCATTTTTATTGACCAATAAAATGGCTTATTGGTTGGTACGACGTGGTGCCAAATTCTCTACATGTCTGTGATTGGAGAGGAAATTAAGGTGACAGGTCTTATGTGACGAGCATATTTTTTCTTATTGGTGTTTACATGGGCTGTTAGGCGTAGTTGATAAAAAACGGAGCCTGACCTGCAAAGTTTGGGTGTGCTGGACAGGAAATTATGTCGGGGGGGTTGGGGGCGGCGTGGTTGCTAAGCCAGGCGACCCGTCGAGGCCACTGGTTGCTTAAATACTGATGTGATGTGAAGGTAGATGGAGGGGACCAAGCCCCTCGCGGCTCGCTATACAGCAAGTAGACTCAATAAAAAAACTTATTTTTATACTTCATAAACACTAACACTGACATATACTACTTGAATACTGAGGGTTTTGATTCTTTAATATTGAGTTTAATATTATTAATTTATTTTATATGAGATTTTTCAAAAAATCCGTACACCATTCTTTAGAAGTGGAAGTTTTTGAAGATAATATATAATATATAGAAGCAAGTTGTCTTTTAATGTGACGAGTCAAGGAGTAAATGATTTTTCTGAAACACTTCTCTTCCCTTTCGGCATGAAGCAACTTTCTGCATTGATCTTTCTTTAAAGAAGACGAAAGAATTACATTTTATTTTATAGCCCACATGCATGCGCTCTATTCCCTTACAAAACTCCATTATTCGATTGGACGGGCTCTCCGGAATACATATTAATTAATTCATCCTGTTTTTGTTCTTCGCCAAACCCTAAGTTAATAGTCTAAAACTATCCTACTATTGATCTTACATTATAAATAAACTTATGTGGGTTCAAAGCTCCATAAATAGTCTTGCATCCTCCCATGGCAACAGATCTTCTCTTCTTCTTCCTTTTTAAGTCTTACTCTGCTAATACACTCAACACATGCAGCCAGCCTCGTATATATATAAGATTCTTTTTCTTCACCACTAATGCTGACTTAAACATGATCAAATAATCCCCTTGAATCTTAAAAACAAAAACAAAAAACTTGCTTTCTAGGTGTTCTAGATACTCAAGTCCATCATTCTACGCCTCTCAAATCATCACAATGAGAAACAAATTGAGAAGAACATAATCTCTCTGTAAGGTTTTTACCAACCCATCAATATATGTGCGTGTGTGTAGTTGACAAGCTCCATCAGAGAAGAAAACTCAAATTAAAGCGTATCTAACCCCAGGAAGAATTCTCCAACTGCCCCTCTTTTTGGTTGACGAAGGAAGAAGACAATGGGTTCGTTAATTTGCTATGTTGAAAGAGAGACGATAATTTTGTAGTCTTCTTTATTTCCATCCCATCAAATTAATTTCTTGTACGAACTTGAGTAGATGAAATATAGATATATAGCTGAGATCATATCTACCCCTTTCAAATAAAATAAAAAGGAAGAAAAAAATATCATATTCAAAGGCATGCTAATTAACAGGTTCATGTCAGTCTAATAAAATAAAAAAAAGAAAAGAAAGAAGAAAATAAATAAATCTGCCTCTAAGTCATAATTAACACATAATTTATTAAATAAAAAACTCATCCATCAGCTCCTATGTTATACATAATAGAATCTCGGCTCATGTACGTTTTTACACTGCAGGTTGGATAAAAACAAATTAATATAAAAAAAAAGCATATCAAGGTATTATTAACATATTTTTAATAGAAAAAATCATAAATTTAAAATTCAATATTTATTCAACAATACTTTTAAAATATTTAAATAATGATATATATATATATTGAAAACGTTGAATCATAAGGTTTTATTTGTTCGCAGGAAAATTACTTTTCTTTTAAAAGTGAATTTCAGAAAAAAAATATTTTTAAGAAAAGTGAATTATTTTTTTATATTTGGTAATGTTATGAAAAATAAATTAAAAAATAATTATTAATATTTTATTTTTCTCAAGTTTATTAAAATAATGAGGAACAAATCTTACAAATGAAAAAGTTGAATGAGAATGAAATTGAAAAAAACTATAATTTTATAAATTATCTCAAATAAAATAAATAATAATCAAAATAATAAAGATCAAATCTAATATTTTTTTGATAAATAAAGATGAAGAAATTAAAATAATAATAATTTACATTTCATAAAGTATTTCAAATAAAATAAGTAACGATCAAAAGAATAAGGACCAAATTTGATAAATAAAGAATTTTAATAAAAAATAATAGGAGAAAAGCAAATAACAATTATAAAATGAGGACCGAAGTTAATATAAAAATTATATTTTAAGAAATTAAATTGAAAAATAAATATTCAAAACAAACTACATATAGAAATCAAAAGTTTTAAGGATCAAATTTGATATAATCAGCAAGTAAATAATGACATTTTTAAATTTTTTACAACTTTCAAAAAGTGTTTTCCACCTAAATTTTTTAGAAAAACACTTTCCTGAAAACCAAGCCAAATTTTTCTTTGACTGAAAAGTGTTTTTGTTGACTAACTTTCCTAATGACAAATAAATACAAGAAAGTTTGGAAAGTGATTTCCTAGGAACTATTTTCTGGAAAATAAACATAACCATAAAGGAAAATACTTTCCTGAAAACCAAGTCAATTTTTTTTTTGACTGAAAAGTATTTTCCGTTAACCAACTTTCTTAATAGCAAAAAAACACGGGAAAGTTTGGAAAGTAGTTTCCTGAAAACTACTTTCCGGAAAACAAACATAGTCTTAGTTAACTTTTATTCCATAGAAAAACAAATGAAAAAACAACTGTGTAATTTTTAAGAAAATAAAAATAGAATAAATTTTTATTTTAGTTATTATAAAGGTGTGGTGTTTCAAAGTGTGATAAAAATTATTTTTTTTATTTTTTTTAAAATATATTAAAATAATATTTTTTTAAAAAATTATTTTTGATATCAAGACATCAAAACAATATAGAAATACTAAAAAATATTCATTTATAGCAAAATAAATTAAATTTTAATGAAAAACAGGTTTATTCTCAGTAAAAAACATCCCATGACACAAAATTATTTATAAAAAAAACTTGATGCATCTATTCTCTTAGGTGATATAGCTGTTGGCTGTATAAACCATTATTGACTTGAGAAAGCATGTGCATCCAATCGGCAACATCTCTACTAATTAAGGGCAGGAGATATGTTAGACCCGTTGGCCTCTTTGTAAAATTCAAAGGCGAAAATTCTAACCTGTCAATTTTAGGGGACGCATAGGAGATGTTCTACAATGCCCATTTCACACTTCATTTAATTTAAGTTTGATTTTTGTTTTGGAGGATGTTTTTGTGTTTAAGACGGGAGACATATAAGATAACTTAGGAATTATCTAATACAAGTGAAGGTTGGGAACTGAGAACCGAGTATAATAAAAATTATTAGAGGAGAATATAAAATTATTTTTAAAATTTTATTTATTAATACAAGTTTTTGATTTGAAATAGTGTTTGTTGATAGGGAAATCTCCTCCACCCATGAGAGTGCTGTGTATGGAAAAACTTAAAGAATGTTTTTTTGAATTAGTTCTCTCTTTAATTTAATTGCACAAAATCGATCTATAACTAATGAATTAGGACCAATTAATTCTTATAAATAATCATTGAGAGAGGGAAGTTAATCTCAACTATTGTAGTAATTAACAGTGAAGGCAGACAATAATATTTATCAAGTTGGAATTACGAAGGAACATGGCTGTTTCCCCTCTGACCATAAAAGCAAAATTTGCTTCTTTGAAGACTCCAACTCATCACACCCATTGTCACCTACCGCACGCAAAGTCTTCAGCCTTCGTGGCCACCTTGAAGAGATGATGTCATCATCTTGATAGAACCCTAAGAATGTTGCTTCGAGGAACCATGCAACCCCGAAAGTATCAGGTCATTCATGCCCTTGTAATTAAAGCATGGAGATTTTCTAGAAAGCTGCCAAAACTCACGTGCCACATCAATCTGGGAATATCCTCTTAGCAAGAATGAATGGCCGAGATCTCTCCTTCAGTCTTTCTTTGACCATGCTGAACCTCCATAAATACCATAGGCTCAAGCTCATTTTCTTCCATTTCAAACTTTGCCAAGGAAAACAAACACGCATATTCATAGTTTATATGTGTGTCGCTGTACCCTCCAATTAAACATACATATAATATAGTTTGTAGGTCTGTATGCTTGAGCGTTTTCTTGTGCTTTAGCTGGGGTCATGAGCGGAATCATGTCCGATAATCCTACCGATTGGTCCCAGTTCTATCAACAAAACCTTTCTAACCAGGTCTTACCCCCTATTCGACCCATGTTCAGGGATCGAGTCGCGGATTCCACTACTGTCACCACCACCACCATCAATACGTCTAGTGTCCCGAACCCCATGGGTTCGAGCAATTCCAGCTCAAGTGCTGGTAGTCATTTGAGTCCCGAAGGTCGTGTCGCCAAGCCTATTCGTAAGAGGTCTAGGGCTTCAAGAAGAACCCCTACAACATTACTCAACACAGACACCGCAAATTTCCGAGCCATGGTGCAACAATTCACTGGCGGTCCTAGTGCACCATTTGCATCAGGGTCACAAATTAATGCAACAAATTTTGGTTTTGCATTAGGTGCTTATCGTCAAGCTCATCATGTTAATCAACCTAGTCCAGCCATGATGCCTCCTGCAGGGTATAATTTGCAGTATCAGCAGCAGCAGCAGCAATTTCAGCAGCAAGGCCAGCATCCATCATCATACATGTTTTCATTGAGCAACAGTAATATTGGCACTAGCACCACCACCACCACCCCTGGTGATATGTTTTTCCAGAGACTTGGAAACCCTAGACCTACTACGAGTATGGAAGTTTCTGATCATGGGTTTGGCACAACAGAAGGAGCTGTCATTTCTTCCCTGGTGGCTCCTCCTTCTAGGCCTCCACCTTCCAGCTCCAATGAGAATAAAAGCAATACTTTCTTATTCTGAGAGGGACATAAAGATAAAAGTTAGGCACTGACTTGTCATGTGAGACAACCATTGACCAACGTAAATACCATGTTACTAGCTCACACTTTAATTATAGCAATATTACCTTTTATTTCCTTTCATATTTGTTTTTTCATCTTTTCTAGGTTCTAAAATGTGGCAATTATTATTCTATCCAAGGCCGCCACGTGCTTTGTTTCTAAGCTTTTTTTTTCTTTCTTTTTTTATAATTTTTGTTGTTTTCTTCAACCAGGGAGAATATGCTGTTAATTAATTATGTTTTTTTTTTCAATGCATGCATCAAGCTGTTTGTTTTCAAAAACTATGGGCCAAGTATGATACAAGGAAAGAAACATGCCTCTTTTATTGTCATTTGCTCTACGTTCACACGCAAGCTCCCCCCACCCCAAAAAAAAAAGAAAAAAGAAATTATAACACTTAATTACTATCTTAAGATTAAAAAAATAAAAATAGTGATAATCACTAAAAGGGATATATCTTCATGTATTTTCTGTTTTAAAAGAACTGGAATTTACCTCAATTCCAAAGATAATTTTATTTATTTATTTTTATAATCTTTTTAATTAAATATATTTTTTATATATTTATTAGTGAAAATTAGCTCGACACAACTCCAGCTAATGAACATGTGAACCTGTATACTTAAGACCATTAAAGGTTGAATAGAAAAAGAAAAAGAAAAGTTGTATGTTTATAATTTTAGAAGGGCTGCTTGTTCATTAATTTAAATACATGGAGTAGAGTACGTGTCAGATCTTTGTCTTGTGTGCACCTTCTTTGAAACAAAATCTGATATCGCAGGTTTAAAGGGTTCCTTGGTGGTCTTGTTCTTGCCTGCTCTGAATTTTTTGTTTTAGTGTGGCACGCGATCCTATTCTTTTACTTGTTAAGGTTTCGAAGATCTCTGGAGAAGTTATTATTTTTAACTAAGAAGAGGAAAGATAAAAAAAACATTTATTTTAATTAAAATCTAGATCAAGGTGGAAATCTACTTGGTAATTCAATCTAGTATGACATTAAATATGTATATTTTAATTGTTATTTTTTATTTTGTTGATCATTTTATTTTATAAATCTGCTAAACTTAAGCTGTAAACAATTTTTTTTTTAATGTTTTTTCTACCTGATCTTGGCACCTTTTAATGTAATATTATACCTTTTTAAAAAACAAAACATAGAGTACGTGATCAAAATCTATTTAGAAAGTGGTTTCAAAATCTTTGTGCCATAGTGGGCGTGCATGTGCGTGCAAGATGCAGCCATTAATGGCTATTAAATAAGAAAACAGCCTTTCGCATAATTCGAAAATCCTCCGCTACTCTTTTTTTTTGGTCTCTTGTATCTAGTTTATCACCACGAGTTGTACTCTTGGTGAATGGTAATTTTATCAAAAATAATATTTGTAATATATCTTTTCATTTTTTGCTGATCAGTACTGAGACTCATTGTAATTTCCAACCTTTAAACAAATGAGACTTTCTGAAAATTAATGATTTATATAGGGAAACATCAATTTTCATCAAAACTAGAAAGAGAGATCCAGGAATATATGTTCATACGAACATGTAACTTTATCTTTATGTCGCAATAAATGTGATAAATACTCTTCCAAATTGTTCAAACAAAGTTTTTGAGGATCACTAGCACATGAAGTTAACTTCACAAAAAGAGATTGATTTGGGTGAGAAATGGGAAGAGGGGCTGAATGTGGGGATCATGGGGTCCAGTGACATGAAAAGGAGAAGACGCACTTTACGAAGTCAAATTTACACCCTAATCCTTGCTAATTTGAATTAACATGGGTGCCTTTTGATTCACTAAGATTACAACAATCCCTATTTGACTAAATGAACATTATTATCTAAACCACCATAGTTTTCAACCTAATTACAATTATTATGTATGTCAATCACATGGATAGATATTGAATTAGAGGGTGACATCAACAGCTTTGTATTATTATTTTAAAACATTGATTGGCCTAATAAGCCGACCTATAATTTGTCTAATCTAAGATTTAGATTAATTCAAATTAAAATAATAATAATTGAGATAATGACTTGATCGATAAGAGTCTGACCAGATTAAAACCCTACTTTTAATCTATTGATTTTTCTTCTTTAAATTTTTTTATGTTGATTTGGATCAACCTCTTGATCGATAACCCGATCTTGCCTCGAATTGGTTTAAAAATCATATTATACATTGTTTACTATAACTGATATCAGAATGCAATGAAATAATCAGTTTTGATGGAACACCATTGGTAAAAGAATGACATAGAGCAGCTCTCATTCCATTTTCAAATTTGTAAGCATTTATTTTAGTCAATACACATGCTCTCATTCTATGTCATCTCATTCGTCATCGATATTAGTGTAATTCATTGAATAAGTTAGGTGTGTTTTATAGTGAATATTTAAATGTTAAACAAGTGCAAAGCTACTCCTCGACAGCCATTCTACAGAGGAAGACAAGTAATTTAAGATGGGAACCAGCCATAGGAAACAAATTTCCTACAATTTTGATGCCTAAAATTGTTTTGTTTTGTGTTTGTCTTTGCTTTCCTTTTTAATCATGGTTTAGGCACCGTATAACAACATATATTTAAATTTATGATGCAACATGGGATTTCAAATTAAAAAAACAAAACAAAATACAGTTGTACCTGCGGTGCAGTCCTATTTCCAAACAAATATTAATGATGTTTTCTCTTATATATTCGATAGTATAGGTGAACTGTACCGCAAATATAACCTGATGAATACCAGTACAAAACATTATAAATTCAATATTAGTTGGTATCACTTTTGACCCTTGTAATTTGAATACTCCTGGAAAGACTAGATTCCTCCATGGAATCTGATCATTTAGCACAATTGAATACTACAGTCACATGGGAGAAAATGATACAAACATTACCATGGCCTCAATCATCAATTGAATTTGACTAATACAATTGACCATTTGAAAGCACCCGAGGCGTCCTTAGATGGACACATTAAGAAGAAATGGATGCTGGCTGGCTGCCTAACAAAAACAAAAAGGCATAAATTAATGTGATCTTATCTTTTATTTTTATTCCTTGACGAATGGAAACCTAAATGTGCTTAAAGTGGAAGGTGAAAATGAACATGTTTGTCTTGGATTGGAGAGTAAATTAAGCGACAAGAGGGGTTACATGGAGTTATGTTTCTCACTTCCATGGCACAAGAACGAAGGGTCCCTTCAACTTTTTTCCTCTCACTACTGGTTAATTACAACTTGGAAGTAACATTCTTGTCTGTCACTTTCAAGAATCTGGGCAGGTAATTAATATGCCTTTTCTGGGTCCATTTGGATTTTGCTTGAATCTTTTGTTTTTTCACGATGAGCTAGAGAGCTAAAATCATTTAAACCACACACAAAAAAAAAAAAACTAAAGCCGTTCTTGGATAGGGGAAACTTCTTTTTTCTTAAAAATAAAAATAAAAATTCAGGTGGATTCATTGTATGAACAAGCAGAGTTTTGTGTGATTCTATTGCAAGTGTTCCTTAAAAGATCTATTTACTTAAAAATATTTTATTTAATAACAAAGGTATCAAAACCCTCTTAAATCCTCAAACAAAATTGTGAAATGGTTATTACAATGAGTCCTCGTATTATTACTGGCTGTTAAAGTGAGTCCCTATACTAATAATTGATTTAATCCACGTGGACAAGCTTGAAATAGAAACGATGTCTCTTGTAATTTTTTTTTTGAAAAAAAAAAAATCATTTTAAAATTATCCAAGAGAAAATAAAAAAAAATCATTTTAAAATTATCCAAGAGACAAATTTATTTTATGTACCCATCTATTCAACCAAACACCTTTATGTTTTTCTATATCTATCTTTTATATTTTTATATTATGAAACATCAACGAACACAATTCTAGTGAACACTTCAGTAGCTTACGCAGGCAACAAGAGTACGCTTGCAAGACTCCCAGAATGTTACAGCTCCTTTTGCATCGATTATGCGAAGAAAATGCAACAAAAACAAAAGGGAACACAAAAAACGAAGGATTTTTAATTATATGGAGGACAATATTATTGTTCACGGTGAAATTACTATGCTACAAAAGAATTCCCGATCAAAGTGACTCGCCTGGAAATTGATTAGTGAGTGAGAAGGGTATGCTGTGGCCACATAACTTCATTGAGTGAGATTTAAATGGTGTCCGGAATACGATGGCTCCAAACAAACAGAGCACAAACAATATTTTCTACTTTATCAACCTGATGTGTTAAAGGAGTGATGGAGTTTGTTGCGGCAGCATTAACCAGTGGTGAAAGGGATTGAAGCTCAACGGTTCAGAGGTCTGATGAGTCATCTAGCTGGGAAACTATGATGGATCAGAAGCAACTTTTCATGCACATAGCATTTCCTCCTTCAAATATTCACAACCTTTTTTCATCAAATATTCTAACTATTCACAACCTTTTTTCATCAAATATTCTACCTGCCATCCAGAAAATAAGTAAACGAGTAAAAATGATGCAAAAGGTCTAAGAGTAGAAATTGGCAAAACTGAAGATAACTTCTTTATTAAGTGTAGATCACGTATTGCATCACCAGCTGAGTGCTCATTCTTGGAATCTTAACCAATATATGTCAAGACAGGAAGGTAGATTTGTACCCCCCCCAAGCACCCTAACAAAGAAAAAAAGAAAAAGAAAGAACAAGGTACAAAATTTGATCATTGGGCTATCCATCATTGAAAGCTAGTCCTTTGTTGTTGGATGACCAGCTAAGACCTCAAAATGTTCTCCCAAAGTCCATTCCAGAAATATTTGATCAGAGGAAGCCCAGAAAAGTGCCAACGGAAACTAAAACCCTTCACGTTTGTGTCTCCGCTCTTTCTCACTGAAGGACATCTCCACTGGCAAACACTCAGTTCTACTGGTTGTACATATTTTGTACCAGATAGCAACATCTGTGGATCCCAGATGGGACCCACAGATACTGATATCTGAACAGAAGGTTGATGTATAAGGAGTCAAGAAAATTTGGCCCATTGCAACTAGGCCTTGGCATTTTCTGATTGCCAGGTAACGTTGATCATAAGATCTGTACGAACAACATCTCAACTTCTCACAGCCCGCCAAGTCTCACAGCCCTGTGAAAATTTTCCCTAGTTATTGCTAGAGGAACAAGATTGTTTGGTGCATAGTTCAAATAATGTGAATGACATGGAATATTGATAAAACAGAAAGACTGCATGTGAAACTTGTGCTGATGTACCTTCATGTCAATAAGTTGAATCAACGTAGCCCATCTGCAAATTGATACACACCATAAATCATATTCAAGTCATGCAAGTATTGGAAGGCAGTCCTGCATCACCAAGCAGCTTGAGATGTTATAAAATTATTCATAGGACGTGAGAAATTAGGAAGATAAACACAAATGCAATCAAGCATTATTCAGTGAATAACCCAGGTACATGATGTCAAAGAAACCAGTAAATTGAGAAGCACAAATGTAAAGGTATCTTTGTATGCAGGGTAGTTTAGTTAGCAAGCAGATTGGCTGATCTAAAATTCCACAAGAGTTCCATCTATGAAAGAGTAGAGCAGTGACAAAGGAGGAAGTTCGTCTTTGAAATTTGAACTACTGCATGGAGATATAAGACTATAGAGGTAATATTAGACAACACTTCTTAGACAGGTCCCAGATAGTAATCTTTCCTTGTTTATCTTCTCTGAGAGTTGTCGTTTCCTGAATCAAGCACTAGATCTATTTTCATCAGAATTTCCCTACGCCTCAACCATATACTCATACAACAATAGGAGTCTTAATTCTTACCACGTGTTTCTTTATTCTTTATATTTGGTACACGACGTGTTTCTTTATTCTTTATATTTGGTACCATTAAAATGAGAAAACCTCGATGATTGTTGCCATTAAATGCAGAGCTGATTCTCTATCAATTTTCATCTTTGTCATGGAAGTTCACTCTAACCATACTTGAATCCTAAAACTTTGAACCCTGTGGTCTGTAACTTCTTAATCCAAAAAAACACCAGCTCACAATGAAAGCACACGGAAAGATTATCAAATGCTACACCAAAAAAATAAAAAAGAAAAAGATACAGCATGCATGTTGAGCATAATTTTGCCACAAGTAATCGTGGATTGTTTAGAGTGTTCTGAAATTTCAGAAATAATTACACTGAATGAGTGTAAAATAACATTCACTTGGGAGCAGTAGATATGCTACAGTTCCTTTAGACTGGTTCCCAACAATATAAGCAAAAAAAAAAAGAAAAAAAGAAGAAGAGGAAGAGTTTTTTCAACTTACAGATAGAGCGTACAATCAAGTTTATCATTAAACTTGAACTCAAAAGAAGTCCAATTACACCATCATTGACATATAAAGAGTTTCACCTGTGAGATCACCGAAAAACTGTCATGTGTTTGTTCTTCTATCATCCATCAATGTTTGCATGGTTGGTACTATGTCCTTTCTTCAGCAAGAGCGGATTAGGCCAAACATGCTCTAGTCAAGAACAATGTTACAATGGTGATATATGAATGATATTCATTTTCATTACCCTGCTTCAATAGACCAATCTGTATCTTTTTACAATAGTTCTTATTAGCCAAAAAAGTGTTCTTGGAGCTCCAAAGATAACTGTGAATGTTTACATTTCTACTTCAACAAAAGTGGCATTTGCATTTACCTTGTAAATGACCAATAAATTGAATAAGTTTCACTAGAAAAATGTTCCAACTGCATAGTGAACCTAAACAACTGCGGAAAGAGCCAATTTGATTTCTGATTTAAGTCTCTTTGCTTCTCTTTGATGACCAGAATGACGAAGACAATCAAAAACCGCACGCTTAGCAGATGGGAGAATTCTTGTGCCACTTCTCACACAAGAGAGCAAGAGCTTTGATGCACAACGGAACCTTCCAACCTTGCAAAGATTGTGAATCAAGGAGGAGTAGGTAAAAGAATCCCTCATATCCATTGAATCAAAGATTTTAAAAGCATAATCAATCCGATCAGCTTTACAACACCTATCAACCATGGTGTTTAAAGCAACCAAGTTTGAATTGAAACCCGCTACATTCATATACTCCATGGCCCCCTCAACATCGCCTTCCTCACACAACCCATTCATCAGAATTGTGTTTGTATACTCATCACGTTCAAAACCTTCCTTTTCCATTTTATCAAGTACTCCATGTGCCATTTCCAACTTACCACCTTTACAATACAAATTAATGAGTGTATTATAAGATGCCATATCAAGACCAATGTCAGTGCTCACCATCTGCTCCATATAATGACTTGCTTCTTCAATCCTACAAGTCTTGACCAAAGCACCAACAACTGTGCAATACGCAAAACCGTCAAAGGTATATCCCTTATCAATCATCTCTTCAAATATCTCAAGCCCTTGTTCAAACCTCCTAGATCTAAAGCAACACCTCATGACTGTAGTATACGTTATAACATTTGGAACAAGTCCAGATGCACCAAGCTCCTTGAGCATCCACCTAGCTGTCTTCAATTTCCAAGCTTTACACAACCCATTAATAAGAATATTATAAGTAACCAATGAAGGAACAAACCCATGTCTCTTTAATTTCCTAAACAACATGAGCGCATTCTCCACAAAACCACACTTGCAAAGCCCATTAAGCATAGTATTATAAGTAGCATGAGAAGGTGATAAATAACAAAGTATAATATCCGTAAATACCCGATATGCGTCATCAGGTCTTTCTAGCTTAAAAAAACAATGCATCAAAGTATTATAACTCCAAATATCAGGTTTTATCCCCAACTCAAGCATTTCTTCAAACAAATCCATACAATTTGACAACAAACAATGCCTCATGGCACCAGCAATCAAAGAATTGTAAGTAACAATATCAGGTTTTATACTGGCTTCTTTCATTCTATCAAGAATTGAATAAGCAGCATCAAAACTAACAAAACGAGAGTAAGCATTGATCAATGTATTGTAAGTAACAACATCAGGCAAAACACCTAATCTTACACCATCAATAATCACAGTTTCTGCTCTTCGTAAATGCTTGGCTTTGCAAAAAGAAGCTATACAAATATTCAAGAACCTAGTCGATGATCTACTGACCATTACTAATTATCCAATGGGGCTCAATTTCACGAAGAGGCAAGATTTGCATACCAATAACAATTGTTGCCTGAAAAGATTCAAACTCTCAAACAAATCTTGCTGCTAAGACAAGGGAGTTTCAAACTTTGATGTAATTCTTGCTGTTCCTTTTGGACAAGGAAGTGTTGGCACTGCACCCAGTAGGCGTTTGTGTTTTTGTCCTGGATTGGTGTTGAAACAAGGGCCAATTCAGTGGAAGATGCAAAGAGCTCTGCAATAAGGTGAGTACTATGGACTAGCCCGGCTTCAAGCTGTAAAGATTTCATGGCTGAGCTTTAGCCCAACAATTTGAAAGATGGGCTTTGATGCTTTAGTCCATTGCACTCTCATTCTCCTTCTTTTTTCAGCCTATAATAACAACTACTTAGTGCTGTACTTCACTGCGGCAAGTTTTATTTTTTCAATAAAAAATTTAGATATTACAAGTATGTTTTTTAAAAAATCCAATAATTCAGATTGTATTTTTAATTAACTAAATATTTTGAATTTATTTGAATCATATAATAAAAAAAAGCAATGATAAAAAATGAATATATATAAAAAATCAATAAGGAAAAAAATAAAATAAAAATACACATTGAATTGAATAATAAAATTAAAAATAATAGAAATTTTATAAAAAATTTAAAAAAATTATAAGAATAATGATCAAATTAAAAACACCAAATTTAAATAACTTGAATATATAGAGTTTTTAAAACAATTTTTAATATAAAAATTATAAATTTCAAGAAAAAAAGACCACAAATCTGTGTAAATAACTAAATAAA